TGCTGTCCCATTTGAGTGGCTGTTGCCTTTGGGTTCTCTCTGCTTGGTGTCCCATTTGAGTGGCTGTTGCCTTTGGGTTCTCTCTGCTTGGTGTCCCATTTGAGTGGCTGTTGCCTTCTGAGGTGGGGTTTTTAAGGTACTTCTTTGGGTTTCAGCATCTGCCACCATTCTTTCTTTGATCCTCTGGCCCTCTGTGAAGTTCTTAACCCAGTGACTGCCTGACCCTCGGCGCACGGTTACCAAGGAGGCACATTACTCGCATTACTTGAGGACGCTTTGTTGGAGAAGATTATTATAAGTTATTTTGCTTAACGGGCTAATCGGGGCCCTCAGATAAACATTATATATAGAGAAATATGTGTATAAGTGCAGCGGCAGTGCAGGAGGTGTCCTCGGAAGTGAAGGGCACCAGCGGTATGTATAATGCTTTATGAAAATGACCCTTCTATTTAAAATGGCTCTATCTGTTATGCATTGTAGCACCAGGCACTGTTAGCGGCTACCTTTGGAGTAAATTAAAAGGCATAAATTCTGTTTAGCGCTCGATGTGCGGCCCCAGCGCTTGGGTGGTGGGGGTGTTGGGGGTGAGATGGTGGGGGTTAAAGGAAAAAAAAAAACCCTTGGGTTGCTGTTCACCTTTCATAAATTCCAGCCCCGGATTCTATACCAAAAATCATTCTCAGCTGAGCGCCTCATTGTTATTCCACGTAGATTGATGGTGGTCATTTACTCCACAGGAGAGTTAAGTGTCCCTGTCATTCCTGAAGAGTATAATTAGGAGGTTTCACAGGTCAGCGCTGTGACAGCTCTCTCTTTTGATTAGTGTCGGAGCGATAACAAAACTTACAGCCCAGTGATGGATGAGGCCCGGGGACCTCGGCGGGCGGCGGCTGGAGTACCTCTCGCACGCCGCCCGATCTTCTGTGCCGTGCCGATCCTCCTGGAGCCTCTCATATCCAGCCACACAGCCTCTGTCATATGCTGTGCTGGTCATTGTGCCGCACGGACTGTTTCCAGGGGCGTAATGTCCAGTGAATCATACTAAATTAAAGGCTACCGAAAACTTAACAGAGATATTTGACCTGAGACCTAAAATGTTACGGTAATTAAAAATGTATCAGTCATTGTAGGAGAATGAAACACCGAATAACGTTTCGGAGTATTTTGCCAGATCCTGAGTTGCTGGGCACATCTGAAGACGCACAAATAGGACAAAACATGTGCTGTCATCAGAGATTAGCCACTTACTGTGAAACAAAAGTCCTTCGTCACGCTAGTTGGTTCTTTATGCTTTTGTAGCTCGTTAGCTAGCAGGCCTGAATATTAGTCACATTTTTGATTTTTTTAACCATTCAGGCTTCCATGCAGCCTAGATGGCTGTTTCAATAGCGACAATCTTTTGCAAAAATGAGTTAACTGGGCTCTCTCTCAACGGAGCAGGGCCTGATGCACGGACCTCTGGATGGGTCAGTTCCGTGTAAGAAGCATGTCACTGAGGAGGAAGCCAATTTGATGTCTGGGCAGTAATGAATCGGCTTTAAAAAGGAGTGCTTTCGTTCTGGTTCTGAAGTCTCCCAGCACCACTACGATGGTTTGGCTAGCGATCAGTCCAATCTGATCATGCCCCCCAGTTACCACTCAGTTGATTTCTTAAAGGCGATTGACCGGGGGAACGTGGCCCCTCGCTGCGTGCAGGTGGCCCCTTCCCCTCCCCCCTCCCTTTTGTCCGGAGGATTTGGGCCCCGTTATCGGCAGCCCAAGCGGCTATATGCCCCCGGGCACCTGGACCGATGCTCGTTCTGGATCCGCAGCTGAGCCCGCGGCCTGCACAATATGCCCTTATCCACACATCTAGGTTTTTTTTCTTTTAGTCTCTCTGTCTTTTTTTTTTTTCTTCCTGCCTCCGTCTCCCTGGTAATAAAGACCGGGGATTAGCATGTCCAGAAGTCAGCCAGCGGATTGGCAAGGTCGCACAAAGGTTGCTTTCCTGGCTCCTAGGTGGAGTTATTAAAAAATGATCCCACCAGTGTAGTGGCATCAAGTACGGGGGGTGACCAGCTCGCTGTGGTCTCAAATAACAGGCTCCCTCACGTTCATGTAAAACTCTGCTCAACTCAGCAGAACTCATGTAAAACTCTGCTCAACTGCAGAGTCACGAACCCAGACTTTCAACAGTGATGCAAAACAAAACAGGGTTTTTTTTTTTTTCCTTGTTTTGATGGGAAATTTTCAATGAAATTTTCTAAAACTTTAGTAAAAGTGGCATGATGTCCTAAATTCAAAACAGACTCCAGTAATTTGTGTTAATTGTATTAATTTCTGATTATTGTCATAAAATGTAGTCATTCTTAATGAGTCACATCCGAGATCTTCATGATTTATGGCTTTGTACGTGTACAGGAAGCTGTCTGGGCAGATCAACACCACCTACTCGAAGCACTAGCAAGCGGGCAGCTGGACACCCCTGTGAGGGCTGTAAGCGGAAATATCAAGGTGTCCAACATCACAGCAAAGTCTGCTTCAGTAGCACCATAAATCTGCAGGGCATCAGGGCAGGCTGGGGCCCTCTGGCTGAGCGTTAATCACCTTAAAGCAGCCCCCAAGGCACCCTAATTCCCTAAGTCTGCAAACAAGTACAGTGGGTAGGTGGGGGCACAAAGCGGCCAGAGGATATAGCGAGGGGGACAGAGATGGGAACTTTACACTCGGCATCATGATTTGAAGCTAAGTTTTCGAAGATATCCTAGTAACTGAGAGAATAACTAAGCAAAATAGGATCTGGAGGTCGTTCCTGGCTTTGAACATTCCTGCCGGTGACGGATGTCGCTCTTGGGCCTGGCCAGCTGAGTACACGGGCCACACCTCAGTACATTTTCAGGTAATCTCCACAGGGCGATCCCCCTACAACTCGCTTTCCCCATGTTCTCTCATCACCCCAGATGAGAGCGGGTGCAGACGGAGAGGAGGACGAGGAGGACGACGATTTTGTGGAGGTCCCCGAGAAGGAGGGCTTTGAGCCGCACATTCCAGACCACCTGCGTGCGGAGTACGGTGAGTTTGCCCAGCTGTACCCAGCCAGCAGCCGCAGCTGGCCAAACAAACAGCCCCCGGGCCGCCTCCGAGCGGGCCACGGTGGTCCCGGGGAAAACCCGTCTCTTTATAAACCCTTTGTCAATGTTTAAGATGTTGATACAGGCCAGGGGGTGGGAGTGCATGGCTTGTGAATGAGCTCAGTGGAGCTTCATCAGGCAGCTGATCTGACAATTGCGGAGGAGCTCAGATGTCTTTGCTGACCTTAATCTGGCTTCCAGAGATCGCATGGGATTCCATGCTGACTGTCCACATTTTTGACACGAGTAAGGATTGTACTTTTTCCTTGAAGACCTATTACTGGCCTATTAAAACCAGTGCCCTCAGTATCCCACCCCTTGCATGCCCTTGTTGGTGTGGCATCCTTTGCTACTGTTCTCTCTCTCTTCCACTTTTATAAATCATCCTCATAAATCAGTAACAAGTAGAGATCGACCAGCCAGGTAGATCCATGTGACAGGGTTCCCGCGGGGTCTTAAAAAGTCTTAAAAAGTCTAAAATTCAGAAAGTTAAATTTAAGGCCTTAAAATGTCTTTAAAATGCCCAGATTTTCATCCCCGGTCTTAAATTTAATTTACCCAAGTCTTAAAATTCTTACCTCCGTTCATTCCCAAAAAGCGTTGTCCGCAGAAAATAAAATAGTAAAACGCTGTAAAACTAATCCATTGGTTGTGATTTCTGGTCTGCACCGGTGTCTGCGTGGTAATAAAACTACAAATCCCATTGCGTGATCACTGCAGCTAGGCAAACAAACAGTTTGAGAAGGGTCTGGCTGCAGAACGTGCACGTTCAGCCACTGACATCAGGTGCACGCTCAGCCACAACAGGAAGTTACGTTCCATACCCATCAGCCATAGGTGAAAATCCGCGATATAGAAACACCATATACATAAACTTTTTTATCGTTTAAGCCTTAAAATACCCCTCCCACATGCTTTAAACACATGTGAACTTATTAAAACACACTTTGTGAACACATATGATATGTGGATGTTGGGCTATGAGTGACATAAAATATGAGAATTTCTGGATCATTTGAATGTTTCTAGTAATGCATCGTATTGGTCTTAAATTTTACTCATAATGGTCTTAAAAGGTCTTAAAAAGGTCTCAAATTTAACTTACTGAAACCTGCAAGAACCCTGATGTAAAGCCACAGTGATTGTCTTGACCAGGACCACACCCCTAAATGCATTGAAGCAACTGCCATGTGATTGGTTGATTAGATAATTGCATTAATGAGAAATTGAACAGGTGTTCCTAATAATCCTTTAGGTGAGTGTATATGCTAGATAATCTTCAAAAGAAATAACCGTTAAAATTGCAAAGCTAGCTAAGGTTTTTTCCTATGACAGAAAAAAAAGTTTTAGCAAAACTTTAAACCCCTGCGCTATAATGTCCGTATAACTGTGGCCAAAAGTTTTGAGAATATTGATATATTGAGTTTCACAAAAGGGCTTTACAGGCAAGGATATTACAGCTAGTAAGATTGTACCTAAATCAACCATTTATCGGTTCATCAAGAACTTCAAGGACAGAGGTTCAATTGTTGTGAAGAAGGCTTCAGGGCGCCCAAGGAAGTCCAGCAAGCGTCAGGACCATCTCCTAAAGATGGTTCAGCTGTGGGATCGGGGCACCACCTATGCAGAGCTTGCTCAGGAATGGCAGCAGACAGGTGTGAGTGCATCTCCACACACAGTGAGGAGAAGACTTTTGGATGATGGCCGGGTGTCAAGAAGGGCAGCAAAGAAGCCACTTCTCTCCAAGAAAAACATCAGGGACAGACTACAAATTCTACAAAAGGTACAGGGATTGGACTGCTGAGGACTGTGGATAAAGTCATTTTCTCCGATTGTTTGGGGCATCCAGAAAAAAGATTGTCTGGAGAAGAAAAGGTGAGCACTACCATCAGTCCTGTGTCATGCCAGCAGTAAAGCATCCTGAGACCATTCATGTGTGGGGTTGCTTCTCAGCCATGGGAGTGGGCTCACTCACAATTTCACCTAAGAACACAGCCATGAATAATGAATGATACCAAAACATCCTCCAAGAGCAACTTCTCCCAACCATCCAAGGACAGTTTGGTGACGCACGATGCCTTTTCCAGCATGATGGGCACCGTGCCATAAGGCAAAAGTGATAACTCAGCAAAACATCGACATTTTGGGTCCATGGCCAGGAAACTCCCCAGACCTTAATCCCATTGAGACCTTGTGGTCAATCCCCAAGAGGCAGATAGATAAACAAAAACCCACAAATTCTGACAAACTCCAAGCATTGATTATGCAAGAATGGGCTGCCATCAGTCAGGATTTGACCCAGTAGTTGATTGACAGCATGCCAGGGTGAATTGCAGATGTCTTGAAAAGATGGGCCAACACTGCAAATATTAACTCTTTACGTAAATGTAATGTAATTGTCAATTGATCCCTTTGACACTTATGAAATGCTTGTAATTATACTTCACTATACCATAGAAACATCTGACAAAAAGATCTACAAACACTGAAGCTGCAAACTTTGTGAAAACTGATACTTGGGTCATTCTCAAAGCTTTTGGTCACAACTGTACAGTATGAAGGTATGGAAAAGCCTGATCTTAATCTAACTTACTAGCGATGTAAGAATTTTATGTGCATATGTGCATGGTATTAATAATATTACCCTGCACCTATTATTATTTGGAAGAGTATAGCACACTTCAGTTTTATTTGGAGGTTTTGTAACCTAAAGACTTTATTTTAAGACGAGTAAAAAAGAGAAAAAGGTCAACGTCGTGTTATCTGTTGAATTTAAACATACTGGAAAATGATACCAGTAACTGACATTAGTTTTGTTGTTTAAATCTGTTGCGCCTGCTCTTGTTTGGTAAAGTTAGGTGTACAGCAGCTCGTTTTCAGTTAATAATTTGCACCTCTTTCCAGTCACAGAGCACTTTTGTTTGAGACTTGTTTACGTGAGAGAAGATCCTGTAACTCAGTGCAGTTTGAGTGAAGTTTAACAATTTCTTTTATTTTGGAAAAAATATTGCGTTGAAGAAAAGTTGGTTTTTGTTTGCATATGCTGACAGTTACAGTTCTTGGAAAGAAAATCGGAATCGGCAAAAATCGACATGGGCAGGTCACACTTCCAAAAAAAAATTCGGAAATCAGAATCGGCCAAGAAACTTGCCATCGGTGCGTCTCTAATAACAAGTTGATCGCAAAACAAGCAAGTCGGTAGCAGAAACTATGCTGTTAGTATAAACGCAAATTTAGCAGGAAATGCTGACATCGTGTTGGGTTTTATTCCACTAGCTAAATTAACAGTGGCTGACGTGGCTTAAATATCTGCGTTTCTGGTTTTGGTGTCAAACATGCCCTGCATAGCTGGTGGAGAGTTTACTCCCATAACTGATGCATTTATTAGTTTATTTGCAGTTTATTTGCATCAGTTTTTGCATCTTTTCGTCTGATGGTCGCAGCCACTGTTTGCTCAGGTATTTGGGACGGACCCGGTTATCAGTTGGAGCATTTTCTCCGCCAGCTTAAGCCATCCATCAGCGCTGCGGCCAATGGGAGAGCCTGATTAGCGAGGCCCGTAACGACGGGCCGCACCGTGCCAAGTTAACAGTGCGGGGCTGCTAATGAGCGCTCATTAGCCTCAGGCTGGTATTTACATCTCCCACCTGCCTCTTCACATGAGCGGAAAACAGGGTGCCTCAGTCAGCTCTCACTGATCCCAGGTCAGCCCTGACCAGCTAAATTGGGATACGCTGATCCCGGGTCGGGCCTGTCTGGCCGCAACCTCATAATATCACTGTCTGACAGCTGTTCAAGCGGCCTGCTCCTCATTTAGCATGTGGGTCTGTCTAGTATGAACATGAAGGACTGTGACCTGCGTGTTAAAGGGGAGAGACGGCCTTAAACCACAGCGGGCCGGATTCTGTTGTATCACTCATTACAGATGAATAGCAGACGTGTATAAGGGTAAATGTGTGTGAGACCACAGCGGTTCTGCGTGGTGCTGCCATAGCAGGGCCTGCCCTCACCGCGCCCCCCCACCGCGCCCAGGGGGTCCTGGCCCGCTGAAGGCCGTCTCTCGCAGCCAGAGCTACCGTTTCCTTTCCATTCCTGCACTCTGCCTTTCACAGCAGATCTTTTATCTCGGCCTTAATCCTAGAGTCTCTGTCAGGACATAATCTCTTTCTCAAATTTACATTTTAATTACAAGGCCTGCTGAACTCGGGGAAATCGATGGCGCAGCGAGGCGCCGGGCGGCCGCTCAGCCTGCCGGCCAGGCCTCCTTATTTCCTGCTATTGATTTATCCCTTTAACACTGAAATTTTATTGCTTCAGACAAATAGCTGCCATTTTGGTCAATTTGAACAGAAAAAGAAGGGATTTGGGAGTATTTCACCGTGCGGCCACAGAGCCTCCGGCTGCAGCCTGCTGTGACGTGATGAATCAGGGAGATGAAGCATGCGGGGTTAACGGGGAACACCGGGAACGGGCTCCTCACGGTGACGGATGCCACCGCCGGCTTTGTCACCAAGGTAGACTGGCTGTGAAATGCTGTGGGCGTTTTGCCAATAGGCGTGGCAGCAATCCATCATTATCCCAGTAATGGTTATTGATATTAATTTGATTTTCACATATTTAATTTTGGTACGTTGCAGTACGTCATGCTATTATGTTTTATTGGTAAATGTTTTTCAGTGCTAACAGCATCCCCCCTTGCGGCCATTGGAACACATTGATTTCCCAGCGTTATGTCATCCGCCTGTACTAGTCTGTCGGATGTATAAAGGAATTTAATATGCATTTTTTTATGCTGCCAAGCAACAGCAGTATAATAATGGATACAGTGCAACACTGGAATGCAATTCCAGTGCAATTAGGATATGATACATCAGGTGCCCAGCCTGGACTTAGGTTGCGAGTGTAACACAGCTTGAATGGAGTGACCTGTCATATGCATAAACAAACATAAATGGATAGATACAGACACACACAAACAAACCTTGGAATCATAGTTGGATAAGAGCTTCACAGAAAATCTGAACTGACCCCCAGGGATTGCAGAAGCTGGGTTATAATTCAGTGAGGAAGGTCCAGCTTGTCAGCTCTGGTTGCCTGTACATCCTGGTGTCCGGCTGGCACCTTGGTCCCCCCCATCCTGCAGATGGGCCCCGTCAGCGTGTCCCTGTGTGTGGGCCAGACTCTGCTGGACATCATCTATCCCTCGTGCTGCTTGTATTCATGGAGACATTATGATAGAGAGGAGTCTGGAGACGCCCTCGGCAGGACCGGCAGTGCCGCTGGAGACGCCCTCGGCAGGACCGGCAGTGCCGCTGGAGACGCCCTCGGCAGAACCGCCAGTGCCGCTGGACATACTCTCGGCAGGACCGGCAGTGCCGCTGGACATACTCTCGGCAGGACCGGCAGTGCCACTGGTGCCTTCATGCACATGCTCCGCCTCCTGCTCCATCTGTCCGGCCGGTAGCTGTGGCTGCAGACAGCAGACTGATCCACACGGATACGTCAGTCTTCGTTTCTTCTGTCTTCATCTGTGTGGTGGGGGTGGACACTCAGGGGTCAGGTGTCTCGCCCAGCAATCGAAGTGAAGCAACTGCCCCGTAAAGAAATTGTCGCTTTTAATTTGGTCCCTGAGCTCGGGCCGGATTGGAGGGTCGGGCTTTCCTTGGAGCTCCGTTTCCCCGTTAAGCTTCACCCCGCTCTTACAGCTGGCCCAGGTGAATTCCAGCTGGCCACCCATGTTAGGGGCAGAGCAGGCGCTAATCGCAGTTAACAGGGCACTAGGACCCCCAGAAGTCAATCTGTAGGCTGGGTCTGGAGTAGCTTGCCTATTGGGGCTGCTGGAGAACCCTCCCCGAAGGTGCTGAGCCATGTATGACGGTTCTGTGATGTGTTTTTTTTTTTTTTCTGGGGTGGTACTGGGGTCTCCCATGTGTTTGTTTAGGTAATTAAGTTGAACATTGTATGTTTGAGTGTGTGCACCCTGGTATTCTGCTCAGGGTGTCCCCAGCCTTGTACGTCCTAGGATAGTCTCCAGGCTCCTGGAGGGATGGAGGGATGGGGTCCCAGTGACTGATCACATCTCTCTGCTTACTCTGCCTAGGTCTGGATCCAGTTACCTCATTGTTTGTGGCTCCAGCAAAGCCTGCCCCGGGATCAGTGACCCAGCCCACCCCACAACCAAAGAGGAGAGCCACTGAGGACGAGCTGGACCCCACCTGTGCAGCCGCCACGCTGCGGATGCTCAAACAGCGCCTCCTCTCTGACCAGGCTGCCGGGTAACATGCCCTGCCGCCGCGGCCGGTCACCCCCTCACATGTGCATGTGGCTCCTGTCCCTCCATGCACATTGGAGTATGAGGCCTGTGTAGCTGTTGACTGAGGTCCACGTCCTTCTTGGTGAGACACAGTCCTGTTCGTGATCCTGTCCCCTGGTGATCAGAGTCAGTTTTATTGTCCTTCTAAACGAGGTAGCAAGCTCACTTAACACACACAGTAATTGTTTTAAAAATACAGTGAATTTGTATGAATTACACAAGCTTATAAAATAGTTGAACGGTTAGTGTCGGCAATGTTCTTACAGAGATGATGGCATGTCTTCTATTTCCTGTAGCCCCAGCAGCTCCCAGGGTGCCAGTGAAGGGGCGGAGACCACAAGTGAGGCCGCAAAGCAGGACGCGGACAGGGAGCGCGCCCCCGTTGTCCCGTTTGACGTGGACCTCTATTACTGGGGACAGGAGCAGCCCACTGCCGGCAAAATATTCAAGTACTGTTTCTCTGAACATAACCTCCCAGTACTATATCACTAAACTAAACTGCATTCCAAACCTCTCTATCCTCTACCCTTACTAATCCCACAGTACTGTATCACTAACCCCCTGGTACTGCATCCCAAACCTCTCTNTCCTCTACCCTTACTAATCCCACAGTACTGTATCACTAACCCCCTGGTACTGCATCCCAAACCTCTCTATCTTCTGCCCTTACTAATCACACAGTACGGTATCACTAAACCACTGTTACTGCATCCCAAACCTCTCTGTCCTCTACCCTTACTAATCACACAGTACGGCATCACTAACCCCCTGGTACTGCATCCCAAACCTCTCTATCCTCTGCCCTTACTAATCACACAGTACGGCATCACTAAACCACTGTTACTGCATCCCAAACCTCTCTATCCTCTGCCCTTACTAATCCCTCAATTTTCTATCCCTAACTGCATTTGTCGCAGATTTTTTTCCTTCCTGCAGATTTGGTAGGGTTGAGTTTCAGTTGCAGTGTCTATATTTATAGCCACTAGAGGGCAACATTGTCTATTCAGAAATATGTAATGGATTCCAACTGGTGACATCAGGAATAAACTAATCAAGTTAGCAGTGGCATGTCATTATATTTATAGGTATTAACACATTAAATCCCTCTGTCAATACAGATAAGTGTATTATAAGGATTATAGGATATGTTGTGTAGAGGAGTTATTTGTGTTGGGTAATAGTTAGGTTGTATCCTTATCCACAGGTGTATTGTCATTCTTCTATAAAGGTGTCAGCGGGTGTATTTATGGCCCTGAACACTCCGTCATCGTGCTCTGTCCTCTGCATCTCCTCCCAGGAACATCTCCCAGCACCAGTTCTGGATTCCCCACGAGATTCAGGAGGAGGTGGAGAACAAAGAGCTTTCGGCCCAGATGAAGTCCCGGTTCATCACCTTCGCAGGCAGCTTCCAGCCCGTCTCGCATAAGTGCCGGACGCCCATGCCCAGTGGGAGCCTGTGCGAGAGGCAGGACCGCGTGAAGGTGAGGCCCCCAAGCCAGCGCCCCACTCCGCGACACCCGCGCTACAGACTCCCGGCCGCGGACTCCGATATGTTCACACCAGGCCTTTTCATTGGTTGTAGTGGGAAAATCTGCATTTGACTCTATAGTGTCACATAAAAATCACATCGCAGATGTACCTGGTTAGAAAGCCAACACCAGTCCTGAGTGAAATAATAATGGAGATATCCTCCAAGGAGATTCGTTACCCTGGAGACTGGTTTTAATCGGGTCGTTCTTACAGTGTGGTCAGATGAATCATGACAGCTAAACGACCGTATGAGATGTCTGGCTATCATCCACACTCCACGATCTTTTCTGAATTTTAATTGCCATTACTTGGAATATAAAGTTTTTATGTATGTATATAATATACATATAATTTTACAATGATAGCAGTGCAATTATTCTGAGGATTTTAATAACGTCAAATTCATTATTTTTTTTTACCTAGCTGGGCAGCTAGCTATCTTTATTTGATAAACAGACTTATGATAATCCCTGTCATGTTTATCTGTTTGCCTCCTTACTAAGTAGTGTTTTGACATATAACATGAATCTTGTTTAGGCTCAAAACTGTTAGTATTTTGATCAGTTTGTGAATGATCCTGTTTAGCTTGTCTGGACCAAGGTGCCAGCTGCACACCATGATGTACAGACACCCAGAGCTGACCAGTTTACTCCTGGGCTCAGTGTACAACATTTCAGTTTATTACGGGTATACTTCAGGTTGACCAGTGGTAACATTTATTACCACAACATATCTTCTGATTGTTTGATCTGATTGTGACAGGTCTACATATGAACTTCCAATGTCTTCGGCACAACAGCCTAGCACTAACGGACTAGTCCAGGTTTAACTGACTTTGCTTGGTGTCTTCAAGGCTAATGCAGTTTGAGTGTGATATTCAGATGTGCATGTTAATTAATTGATTATGGTTAATTGAACATGCATGGAAAAGTTATTTGGATTTTTACAACATTATTGTTAAAATACACAGTCCTGAAAAAGGGACGTTTCTTTTCTTGCTGAGTATATTTACTCTGCGTATCATCAACCAGGGTGTTTTTTTTAACATAACACAATTGGATGGGATGGGATGGGATGGGAAGGGATGGGACGGATGGACAGACGGACGGATGGACAGACGGATGGATGGACAAACAGACATTAATTATAGTTGCTTGGGGGTCTAATCAGCCTTTCTCCTTGCAGTGTCCTTTTCACGGGGTGATTGTTCCTCGGGACGAGCTGGGGAGGCCTGTCAATCCGGCGGACGCGGCCCGTCTGGAAGAGGAGAGGATGAAGCGTGTGGAGGAGCAGCCAGGTAAAACCTCCTTCCTGCTGCTGTTCTTCTGCACTCTGGCCATTTATAATTTAAGAACATTCTGGAAACACAGAATGTAATGGACAGGGTTAGGGTTTAAAAACATCACCAGAGCACTGCAGAGGCTGTTTGGGAAATGAACTGAAAATTGTACCCTTGGTTTGTATTACCTCCCACAGTTTTGCTTTGGAGAAGAGCATCTATTTTTGTTTTTTTTTTTTTTTTTAAAGCTTCATGATCAAATATTTTTCCGGTTTCTATTTGGCAAAAATGTGCTTTTGCGTGTTGTTGCTGTTATCGCCGATCGGAAGCCCATATCCCAACCAGATCATGCAACATCAGCTGCGCGCTCACTGCGCTCCCACACAGACGTGAAGAAATCGAATGTAACCGATAAGCAAAATAAATGCAAACCACAATCACATCATTAAAAAGTAGCGGAGCTTGTAATCTCTATCCAGGTGATATTAAAATCATCTGTTCCCTATGTTTGTCTAACTAGTACCACAGTTTAATTTATCCTTCCCTCGCTAGTTTAGATATTTTATATTATCTCTGAGATTTACTTGTTTTTTTTGTTTTTGTTTATTATTGCTCAAAATAATGGTTGTGCACAAATATCGCTAGCTGGTTTTTTGTCCTTCTCCATGCAGGAAACCTGAATAGGTTTTTGTGAAGTTTAAGAGATCTTATCCTCTGTGGGCAAAGGATGAGGACAGTGAATTGTGGGCTGGTTAATGTGGCTAGGCTGTAGGCCTTGTGTTTGGGTTAGATTTGTCAAGGAAGCGTGAACTCGTTAGACTCAATGTTGAATAAGACCCTGTTCATATAGCACAAGTCATATAGTAAATATAGAGGGAGCATTTTTGAATGCCTCATTTGACAGTGTCTCAGGGTCAGAGTTTAAGTCCACTGGATTCTGCTATATGTACGAAAGCAGCCAGAGTAAATTGTGTGGAAAATGCCTTTTGACTCCTCTTTCGTGTCTTAACCGCAGCCGAGTCAGGCTAACAGGCTGTGAATTTCAAAAAAGCAGGGGATTTTCAAGATAGCATGACACCCAAGTTGACAATAACATAGGTGGTACTTAGACAGGTGACAGAAGGATCCCCAAAGATCACATCTGTACAAGGCTGGGAATGAGTTGGGTCTTCATGTTCATTGAAATCTCATTAATAAGTGTCAGTGTTTGACAGACCACAAAAATTCACTAGTGTATGTGTTTGTAACATGCACATTATGGTTGGGTAATGAGAACTGTATTATGTCAGAATTGTGCACATTTTTCATTCATTTACTTGACAGTTATGACATGATATTAATTTTAAGACATATAATTATACTGTATTAATTAAAGCGCAGACATACAGGGATGCTTTAAAGCACGTTTTACATGCGTAAACGGACAGTGACGACCCCCCACCGCTGACTGAGGAGCCGTTTCAGGCCTAAATGTGTCCTGCTGGGAGGGGCCAGTCCCCGATGTGGAGCCCCTCCCACACCAGCACATGTGATGCTGCAGTGATCCAGTCTTGACCTGCAGTCCCATCACTACGGTGGCGAAAACCACCAGCTTAGTCCAGAAAAAGACGCATTGAAGAATGACCAGTTATGAAAACTGTGGAGATGGGGGGGGGGGGGGGCTGGTTCTCTGTTCGTTTAG